TGTCACAGGTTCCACAGGTTGTTTGATATTTACAGTAACAGTTGCACATAAAAACAATATTTTATACAAGTCCTTCATCCATTTACCAAATAAAGGTATGTGACCAAATCCAGACCAAATCTTTGAACAGACATTTCTTTTACAGTGTTTCTTGAATGGGAGGGACAAATTCTTTTGACTCAGCGACTACAGTATGTGCTGTTTTATAAAACCACCTTCTCCATGTGCCTTGTAAACAACATGTCCCTGGGGGCTGAGAAGGCAATCAGAGGTGAGAAATCACTGCCAGAATTGACGACTAGAGTCCTGAGACGTCAAGTGTTTGGATGGGTCACAAAGTGATTAGTCCCAGTCTCAGAGGAAAGGAGCAGGGGTCAGAGGACTAATGATTGAACGTGGTAGTGATAGCTTACTTCTGCATGTGAAACCCCCCCCAAAAAAAAAAACCCCACAACACCTCCATCAAAAAAGTATTTGAACAAATGCCATAAAAGCCTTGCGGTCCTTGGTGGAATGTTATGTGTCTGATTTACCTGTTCCTTGCAGGGCTGAGAACATCACTGTTCTCATTAGAAACTGCTTCTGTGCTGTCTCATAGCAACCTAAAAATAGAAATGTCCCTATTAGGCTGTATAGCTGTGATGGCTGCTACAAGTTTTGGCCTCTTTAATTGTGCAGTTAATATATATATATAGGTGTGAAATGTTGCTCTATCTCTTCATTTATTGAGCTGTGAAACAAGCCAATCAGAGAGACAGTTGGTTGGAGATTTGGATAAATAAGCTTGAATTATTAACTGATGTTAAGTTACGGAAATAATTACTGCTTATAAAACATTATTTCTGATTTTAATATGCTAGGAAGCGCATGAATGTACCATATTAGCATTTCCTAAGAAGCAGTGTGATGGTGACCCAGAACAGATTCCTTTGTCATATTTTCCAGCTGGATTGTCTTTGCTGTTCCTTTTTTTTACATGACAGATAGGAAGACTGTCTTTATTGTAACAACTGGCACTGATTTTCCACACCGCAGAAAGATTAAATCTTATTTATAGAACAGACTTACTATCTGATGCATGGATTCACGTTTTAAAAAAGCAGAACCAGTTACTATAAAAAATGTTATCTTCTAATGTCCATCACCTGTAAGCCCAACAGTGTGCATCACTTTCATTTACAAATTGCCCTTTTGAAATGATTAAACTGAAAAACACACGCAAAACATTAACATGTGTTTGACAGACAACAACTCGTTTTGTTTGTGTCCTGCAGATTATAGATCAGGACAGAGGTTTTTTCATCAGACGCAATTTATTTTGGTCGACTCTGACGTCAAGAGAATACACGTTTCATTCAACATGCAAGAAAGTAAGTTATTTATAACCCGCAGCATCTCCAGGTTGTGATCCTTGAGTGCGCAGTGAAAGGAATACTCCCCATTGGACTGATGTAGTGTGCCTCCATAACAAAAGCCACGCAGCTCATGTGCTATGGTGCCAGAGAGGTACAGCACCCTGTAATTTAAACTAGGACGCGTCGATGGGAACAGTCACGGCTGAGGAAAAAATAGGGATATTTCGAAGAACTGCAACAAACTTTCTGTTTTGAATCATTAATTTCCTCCCGATTTTCTAACATCTTACATGACAAAGCACCGGGTACTTTGATCATGGAAAACCTTTCCTCTGACCAGGTAAGAGAATTAGCAGACACTAAGTTCTTCGGCGAAATTATTAAACTACAAAAATAATGAAAACGAAGGTTATTTAATTCAACTTTATGTCGTTATCTTGTGTCGCTTCTTTCATCATCTCAGAGGAAGCTGGTAAAAAATAGATTGCATTATACATAACATCAGAGGTGTGGATTCTGTTATAGACTGTATATAATGTATGTTATTATGTTATTTATGTTATAAATTACATTTCAAATGCGGGATTTAACGGAGAAATAGACGACCAACCCAATAATATGCAATGGAGCGCGTCTCGCCAAGTTATACAAAATGAGAACCATGTACAGCGACTCATCACAGTGTGCTATTTAATGTCGCCTGTCTGGGTGTTCGTATTGTCACTATTTAAATTTTAGATATCCAAAATTAACGTTGACGTACAGTCTCTTGGACATATTTTTGTTCAATAGAAACAGGTGAACGAGGTTGGTGTTTTTGCGCACTTAAAGGTTGGCGCATGTTTTTGTTCGTAATTCAGCATTGCCTCCATAAATATGATGAAAAAAGATACAATCAGCTGCTGCCACGAGCTAGGCCTAAACTTTGTTTTTGATATCCAAATATCAACGCTTGATGATCTATCAGTATCAGTATTTGTTTGTGAATCTAACAGGTGCTGGTACCATGCTGTCTCCTGCATGGACATGGTTTTTGGGGCATGGGCATGGTCATCTTTCACTTTGGGCATCTGCAATTTTTAAACATTATCTTCGTCTGAGTTATTGTACAAAGAATATATTTCCTATATCATAAATGTCTAATAGGTTATATTTATTACCTTTAAGTTGTAACAGACTGCCACCTGCTGGTGTTGATGATTTAGCAAAACAAAAAAGGAACAAACAATATGAGTCAAAACGATTTTGCAATGTAAACTGAACTACTTCAATGATTTGTTCAAGGGGCTGTGAGCTGTAAGTTCAACACTGAGAAGATCTGTGATTGGCAGGGAGATGGCAGATATACTGGAGCTGCGGGCCGATGGAAACTCTCTCCTGAAGGCAGTGTGGCTCAGACGCTTGAGACTCACCAGGCTCCTGCTGGATGGAGGTGCATATATCAACGAGAGCAATGAACGTGGAGAGACGCCACTCATGGTGGCCTGCATGTCCACACACATTGACCAGCAGAGTGTCAGCAAGTCGAAGCTGGTGAAATATTTGCTGGACAACCAGGCTGACCCCAACATACAGGACAAAGCAGGTAGGACGGCTCTAATGCACGCCTGCATCCACAGGGCTGGGCACGAGGTGGTGGATCACCTGCTAAGCAATGGAGCTGATCCCAGTCTGGAGGACAGGAGCGGGGCCTCAGCCCTGGTCTACGCCATCAATGCAGATGACAAGGAGACACTAAAACTGCTCTTGGATGCGTGCAAAGCTAAAGGCAAGGAGGTCATCATAATTACCACAGACAAGTCACCATCTGGCACTAAAACTACCAAACAATACCTAAATGTCCCCCCATCACCAGAGATGGATGAGAGGTCCCCGGCATACTGCACCTCTCCGTCTGATATTGATGTTACTGCATCTCCCGCACCTGAGCAAGAACAAAAAAACACAGTCTTCAGTTTCCAGACAAAGCTGAAAACCTCTAGTTCAGCTACGAAGCTTTCCAACGGGCCCACGTCTCCAACACGCCGGCCTGCAAACCCCAAACGTGCACGTCTGCCTCAGCTGAAAAGGCTGCAGTCAGAGCCTTGGGGGTTGATTGCTCCCTCAGTCCTGGCTGCAGCCGCCGCCCATGAGGAGAGTAAGAAAGCCAGCTCTGATGAGGATGTTGTTGCAGGGGTGAATGGACTCTCTCTGAGTAAGAGGTCAGCTTTATCTCGACAGAACAGTGTGGATGGGAAGGACATCTTATTCCCACCGGTGGGAGAACAACCCTGTAAAATGACAACCTCAATATCGGTTCCTCCGACGTCCAAAGCATCATATGAGAGATCTCTAGGCCAGCACCAGCCACTGGCACGGCGCAGTACTGTGCCCACAGAGCAGGAAGGCAGCAGCTGCAGCAGTGGACTTGCCAGTCTGAGAGACACAATGCATAGGAGACGTCTGGGGAACGATCACTATGACTCAGACTCACAGCTTTATTCAGACTCTGCCATGTTAGACTCTCCTAAGGTCCCCTTAGAGCGAAGGAAACTAAACACGTCTCCACTAGCGATGCTGACCAGCTCCAGAGAATCTCTAGACAGCAATGCCAGCCCATCCTCTCCCAGCACAGCAAGCAGGCGTGCACCTGGCCTCCTGGAGAGGAGAGGCTCTGGCACACTGCTGCTGGACCACATCTCCCACACCAGGCCCGGCCACCTGCCCCCTCTCAACATCAACCCGAACCCTCCCATTCCTGATATCGGGGCTTGTAGCAAGCCCTCGTCACCTCTGGCAACAGGTATTAGATCTATAGCTCCAGTAGCACCAAACACACCAAAGAGAGGGGGTCTCAAGTCCAAGAAGAAACTTGTGAGAAGGCACTCTATGCAAGTGGAACAGATGAAACAGCTTTCTGATTTTGAGGAGCTGACTCATTAGTTAGTGACGGTGTTTATGCAGCACATATTGTGGAAGTGGAAATGTTAACACCACAAATTGTCAGGAAGTACGTCCATAGGTTCAGCTGTGTAGATTCACCGCAATCTAGATGTTGAATAATGTATAATTTATAAATATATATATATATATAGTATATATATATTGAAACTGAGCAATATAGATAGAGAGTCTTTGTGTTACACCCAACCTTAAGGATTATTATCTTTTCTTCACAACATCTGCTGTATATGTACTACCGGTTTGAATGTAAATGCCAAGACATGGTACTTTTCCTCTGAACTAGCTCTCTTACATGCTTACATGATAATGTAATGTGTAGGGAACATACAGGGTCCATTTGTAGCCAGCAGGCCACTTGGGTGCACTTTGTGCATATGTAATTAGCACTGTTAATGGACTTTTCTTTGGAAAAGAAAAATGTGATGCACTTGTCTGAGATGTAGCTTTGAGTAAAATGAAATTTGACTGTTTGTAGCAAATTTGTACAAAGTGCCTTCAAGATAAAGAAACCTAAAAAAAAAAAAAAAAAAAAAAAAAAAAAGTGGACAGATACATTTAATGTATTAGGAGCATTTTTAATTCATGATGATGTAACCAAAATGTGTTTTATTTCAATATTGTTGGTCTCACATGGAAGAAAATGAATAGACGTGGTGTGAATGAATGAAAAACATGCCTTAAGAAACAGGTAAAACCATGGGCTATGTATAACAGCACTTTATTGCCCAGGAGGGAAAAAAACGAAAATGATGCTATCAACAGTGTTACAAAAAACTTTAAAAGCACACATAATTCTTTTATTATAAATTCAAGTTACAATGAATGACAATTGAGCCCTTAGTCAACACAGACATTGGTGAAACTTGTCAATTAAAATGTCATTTCACGCTAATGGCAATCAAAACTAAAGATCATACAGCTTCCATGTAACTTACCTGTGAAGCATTGCTTCTGTTTAGGAAAAAACATAATTTAATCCATAGTATTTTTGCAAGTAGTTTGTTGTATAATCTGAATAAATGTCTATCACTTGTGAATTTCTGTTTTCTGTTTGTTTACTCATTGGTCATATTAAGTAGGAGCTCAGCTGATAGTAACCACACAGATGCTCATTAGAAAGCGCACCAGTCTTTCCTCGGGCCACTTGGCAGTCCATTGGTCCTGATGACGATCATCAGCATCATCAATGTCACTGTGATTATGTCAGACCAACCATAGAGGCACTTAGATCCCACAGCTTCTTGGCAGCTTCATCATCCAGACCCTGAGGGGCTGCTGTTTTAGGGGCGCAGTCGCTGTAATCAGTGCAGAATTTAGTGTTAAACATGTTACTCGATCCCTTCCCACTGTGCTGATTTAGTCACAAAAATAAGTTATCATTCAGGATATAATATGAACACAGATTGGAATCACAGGGTAACTTACAATATAATACAATTGCAGTATTTTGTCCAACATAATAATGGTAATTTAGTTAATTCTGTTATAAGCATCATATTGAAATAGTTTCTATATAGTGTCTATTAGGAAAAGAGTAAAATACCCCATTGCCAGCAAAATATTTTTTCCACAAAACTAGACTCAGTCAAGATTTTGTACTTATTCACTCCGTTTTCAGTTTCTTACATTCATACAGGGTCTGAGCCTTTTTTTAATTCACGCAGAGCAAGATGAACTCCAGCAAATGGCTTAACTGCGAGGAAGCAGAACATTTCAGAGTTCAGATAATGTCGGCGGAAATGCAAGTAAATATCACTTCTGCCAAGAGAGATAGATAGATATTTATCCCAAGGGAAATTCAAGAGGCAGGATTCCTAGCCGGGCAAAACAACTGCCCCTTGTTCCCCCAAAATGATGTCCCCAAAAACCCCAGTTTCACTGTGTGGCCATTAGTTTATAGTTATATCATTAATTGTTCATTTGTTTGGGAATATGGAGATATGCACCGTTAAAACACAATATCCACTGACTTGATAAGGGCCTTAGTTGAGTCCTGATCTTGACATGCTGTCTCGAAAAGGATCCTTGTGCTAATCTAGTCTGTATGAACATTATCAGTATAAAATGACTGCTGTGAAGTATGTATAATGTGAAATGGGTTTCTTGTAGTTGCAAAACCAAAAACAGTTATAACCCAACTATTCAGTCGCCCTCAGCTACATAGAACCTTTTATCTATTTTAAAGAAATGTTTTGGTTTTCTGGCCCTGCAGCTCTACTCTTATTAACTTTAGTTTTCACCAAGAACTATCTCATAAACACACTGTATGCTGCCTGCCCAGCATCAAACAGCAGGCCCACAAAGTTAAAGAGCTGGTGAACATAGTGGAGCATTTAGAGACAGATATTTCCCTCAGGAGGTACAAGGAGATTGGACTTACATTCATCAGGTGGGCAGCGAATGTGAAACCAGAATTAATACTGTTACTATGTGTGTGCTGAATAAATAGACAGTTGTTTACTACCCCATTGTCACCAATGTTATAAGGTGATATAATATGTCAGTGTGTTTACAGCTTGTTCTGCTGCCCCCAAGTGGCAAAAACACAATCATTATCACTACATAGTGCACAGAGAGGGGGAGCAACAGAGGTTAACAGGGGCCGGGCACCACACATTTGCTCCAGGGGTCCCAAGCAGATTAAACCGGCCATGATTGTAACAGAACATCAATAGCAATATGGATATATTTTGTTTTGATACCGGCTGTCTCACCTCTAATAATGAAGTTACCATCTATGACTGACCTGTAGTAGAGTCCGCTTTCATTCTGCAGGCTTTCCTCAACAGCGCAGTAGATGGTGGTCTGGGCCCCTTCAGTTGGAGACTTGATGAGGAACATGAGTGGTGTATACACAACTCTCTTCCACAGGGACATTGAGGGCCAGAAGTGTCGGCCGAGCTCAGTCCGGATTACTCCAGGATGGAGGCTGTATGCTGTTACTCCGGTACCTGCAACATGACAAGGCATAGGACATAATGTAGTCACTTTTTAATATATTCACTTTTAAAAAAAAAAATACTGCATGTCTGTGAGATAAAAAAAAGTTTCAATACCTTGTAGCCTGTTAGCCAGCTCCCTTGTAAAGAGGACATTAGCTAGTTTACTTTGCGAATAGCTTTTCCAAGGGTTGTAATCTTTCTCCTGATTTATGTCATCAAAATAGATTTTACCTGTTGAGTGAAAGCAGTTCATGCTTATTCACAGACGTGCTGTATTAATATTTAATGAAACTGAAAAGGACGACATTCCTGAGAGAGAGAGAGAGAGAGAGAGAGAGAGAGAGAGAGAGAGAGAAATAAAATCTCTTGAAGTGAAACAGAAAAAGAGAAAAACTGCACCTCTTTCATGAGCTAAACTGGAGACATTGACGATGCGGCACGGAGACGACTTCTTCAGGAGATCCAACAGGCAGTTAGTTAAAAGGAAGTGGCCCAGGTGGTTCACACCGAACTGCATTTCAAAGCCATCTTCAGTCTGCCATTTTGGACAGCTCATAACACCTAAAAGCCAGAATATTAGTTTGTTGAACACCTCCTTCCTGTTTATGTGAACACTGTGCACTGTCTCAAAGCTGTGTACGATATATCACACCATCACGTGTCATTTATACATCTACCTGCATTATTGATGAGAACATCCAGCCTCTCTTCACTTCCTAGGATGTCTTTGGCGAGTTGTCGCACTGACTGTAGAGATGCCAAGTCCAACTTTTTCACAATAACATTGTCATTTCCACTCCTCTTCCTCACGTCCTCTGCAGCTTTATTAGCTCTGTCCATGTCTCTACAGGCCAGAATGACCCTCGCGCCTGTAACACAGCAGCAAATGTCGCACATTTCAAAATTAAATTAGATAATTAAAGGCCAACATATAAAACCCAGTTAAGTTGCTAACCCCTTCTAGCCAGGTCAACAGCGGTTTCTTTGCCAATCCCAGTGTTGCCTCCGGTGATCAAGACAGTCTTTCCATCCAACCGGGCCTTGCTGTGACACACTCCACCTGCCATCCATTTCTTCACGCTGAAAAGTCCCACTCCTGTAAGAGAGTCCACACAGTAAGTTAATCAACTATAACCATAATACCTGTTTACCTTTCACAGACAACTGAGAAAACCATTCACAGGACTACAGCTTTTTATGTTACATCATTACTATTTTCAAATATTTCAAATCAAACCGAATTGTTTCAGTTATTCTTCAAGCAAAAATGATGGATGAAGCTCAAACTGGTTCCAGTTTCTCAAACATAAGAATTTGCTGCTTTTTTAAATGTTTCTTTATCACCATAAATACAGTTTATGGAACTATTTTAAGAAATTATGATAGACATTTATTTATTTAATACTTTTTGACATTTCATAGATTAAACAATCCATTAATCAACTGATTTCATGATACTGAAACACTGCTACTGCTTTTTGTGTGTGTTCTCATAAGTTTGCCTTGTCTGTTTATTTATGTTTGCATACTGCATGTGTTTTAACCCTTGATGATCTCTAGCTTTATTGTGTTCTTATGCTTCACAATTTAATTGTAGGTCAGGACCGGGGGACTTCAGTGCTGTAATTACCTTAATCATTGTCAAATCTATCTATCTATCTATCTATCTATCTATCTATCTATCTATCTATCTATCAGACTAATGACATATAAAGCTGTCAGGATTACATATGAGACCATAGTGACAAAAATCAAGACAAACATGTAAATGCTTTCATCTGTATAACTATAATGAAAACTCACAGTATTGCAGCTGTAATCTAATCTAGTTATTACAGAGGCACAAAGCAAAAAAGGAACCTGTAAAATGATTTCCAACATCTTTGAATTTTAAACAATGGAACTGTTTGGGGTTTTTTTTGCCATATGAAGTGATGTTCAATTGGCATTTTACATATATGAAATCCCACTCAACAACAAGGCAACTGTCTCAGTGTCCTTTAACCGAGACACCACAGACTGCACAGTGTTATACATTACTGTCAATCATTAGCGTACAGTGAGCACACAGACTTTAAGAGTTAGTTGTTTAACACCCCCGCTTTACACAACATTCATTCAGTGCATACATTACCTGTTACTGTGACCAGACCAATAGTTTTGGGATACTCGAAAACAAATGATCTTATCGCTGTGAAGGTCTGCATCGTCCTACCAACCCTTACCCTGTTTATTCTACTGAAAATAACTTTCCCTGTTAGTCCGATGACACTGAATTTCTATTCAAACTCAGTGTCTCTCTCACATGAGCACAACTACTAAAAATTACTGCAAACCAAACTACCGAGAAAAAGCGCCCTCAATAACAGCTCCCAAAGTCGGTAGAGCTACATAACACGCTACCTTTCACCCGGAAGTACCGCCTACTGTCAGCATATTAGAAGAGTCCTATTGGTTCTTCTTATTAAAGCTCAAGCAAGTTACAAAACACATTCAGATAACAATCTTTTTACTCTGTGCTTCATGGCGCACCACTTTTTCATATTAAATAATAATAATAATAATAATGATAATAATAAACTATATGTATATAGCACTTTTAATTCACAAAATATAGCCTCAAAGTGGTAAGTAAAATAGCAGTTAGAAAATAAAAGAAGAAATGAAAATGAAATACAATGAAATGAAAATATAACAAATGTAACAGCCATCATTACTACCACTGCACTGCAAACATTATCATCTGAAATCATCTTTCTTTTGCATTGAACAGTACCCTGTAACATTGCACATGTACAGGTATCCACCTGGACCATATTCAACTTTATTGTATATGGTGTATATATTTGATATGTTCTAGATTTCTATTAATTTTTTTTCATTATTATTTATTTATTATTTTATTTTTATTATATTTGCTGTTTGCACAACATTTCCCCTGTGCTGCTGTGCCAAAGTTGAATTTCTCCTATGGGGGATCAATAAAGGCATATGTCATTTTATTTTTAACTTTTAATTTCTGAAGGTTGAGCAGAAGTGAACATAATCCAAAAAAATAAAAAAATAAAAAAATCTAAATTCTAAGTAAAAGCAAAGCTAAAATGTGAGTTTTAACATCCTAAACACATCAAACAATGTTGCTGATGTATATGTATGTGTTTTGGTGCGTTGGTGCCTGGGACATATCTGCATCATATTAACTAATAATGTGGGGAAACATATGAAGTAAAATAATCTTAAAATTAAAATCTTAAGGTCAGTAGTGGTGATGATGTTTTAACCACTGATTACTAGGTTGGATGATGATGACTGATCTCCTGATTACATGTTATTCCGTCACAACACATTGTATTATACAATGTCAGCTTGTGCTGGGGTTTAAGCATATGTTTTACATATTAAGATTATAATATGTGTATTTTATTAGGGTTTTTTTTGTAAAAGTCTGTGTTTGTTCTCTGTTTTCCCCTGCTTTAATGCAAATGAAGTTAATATATGTTGCAATCGAGATCCTATATACAACATTGCTACAAATCCTCCAGCAGAGGTCACTGTAGGCTCACCGACACTGTCTAAGTGCCTTCTAAAGGTGTCCAGCAGATGGCGTACATACATTATATCAGACCCCAGACTTATGTTTCATTTTTTTACATGCACAGTTACCAGTCAAGTCTAAGAACACTGGGGAAGTACTTAATATAGCATCAAATTATGTCCTAAACTCCTACGAGCAAATTAAAATGCTCTTTGCTGTTGTACGCGCAGACAAAAGAAGAAACCCACCAGCAGCACCAAGATGACAGTAATAATAGCATTATGCCTTCAGATCTTAATCAAAGCCTGATCAGAGCTGCAGCTGAGCGACTGACTCTTGAAATAAAACATTTAGTTATTTTTTTTTATTGATGAGAGTGTCTCTCAGTTTTGATGTGTCAAATCAATAAGTCATCCCGCTTTCTTTAAAGCACAATCAAGTGGCCTAGCGTTCTGAGGCCGGGCGAGGTCTACGTTTAGAGTTTTAACCTTGGAGTTTACAGAGTGACATCTGAGAGTAACTGTTCACACTGTGGAGGACTGCTGGGTGTCTGTGAAGGTGGGCAGCATGTGGTCACTGCTTACATACCATGAGGTCAAAAGTTGCTGTAGAAAGCAAGAAGATTATGTAACTGCCACTGTCTGACCACAACAACCACAGTCTGTATTACAGTCTCTCATTACATGTGCAGGACAAAACTGTGCAACAGCTGACCTTCACTGACCTTCTCATGAAGACAAGTTGAGGAATGTTTTTTTTTTTATACAGCTCAAGACCTCGTATGTTTATAGATTATTGCATTTTTACGAGGCCTTTGCATATCTGACTTTTGTCAGCGCAGGGCCCCTATCCTCAGATGTATTTCTACAGAGGTGACCTGGCTGTCTCTTTTGCTGGCTCACCAACAAGCCCGTCATGTGACCACTCTGCACACGCTTCCCAGTCTTTCTCCCAGTATGGTAACCTTCCCTTGCTAAAATTAGAGGGCCCTCTGCCGAGACATTTTGGAATGTGACTATCCTGTACCCGTCCTGCAGATGATATGGGATCTCAATAAATTTCACCATATCTGTCAAATTTTAACCTTTACTTGTTAACTCCTGATACGCCATTAAAAAGTATGGGTTTTGCTTACTAATAAAACAAACCCTGTGAGGCTGTACTTTTGCTCAGGTCAAATCTCTTAATCAGTTGTTTCTGGTCTGGATGCACTTTATATTTGTGGGTCTTCTTCTGCACAGTAGCACATATACATTTGCTTTTAGCTAAATCTGTAAATATTACATTATCACATTATCCCTCGGTATGTTTAGCAAGATAAACAGCTAGCACCACATAAATCCATGTTCTTCTAATAACTCACATCTTTAGGAATACTTTCCATAGTTTGCATTTACCCTACATAATAATGTATATCTCTGCATAATAAAACCTCCTATTGACCTTGAGTATGGACAAAGCACACACAGACAAACACATAATATACATTTTGTGGGTAATACAGAATACTTTTAAATATTCAAAATGATAATATTCCTGCAAACTCACTGTTGAGTGCAACAGACATTCAACAGGTCACATAGGAAAAGTGTTGGCAAGCTTTTTAAAGGTCACTGATTTTACACATCAAGCTCAGGGAGTACCACTCAGCCTGTGACAACAGTTAAACAATGTCATCCAAAATCTGAAAAACTGACCCTGATTATGTCATCAGGGTTTGAGTGGCGTTATGCAGGATACAGTGTGTTGGGGGAGCTTGATCCATCTAAAAATATATGTCAGGATATTCTGTTTAAAACTGTTTCTTGTACGCCCTGCAACTCTAGGGAAGTGTACTAAATCACACTGCCCCTTTATTAAGCATTAAGTGTCAAACAGCCATGTAGTGGGAGTTTTCTGACGAAATCAATAACCCACATTTATACAGCGGTCAGTGACCTTGATATGCTCACTCTGGATGGGGTCACTTATATGTTCCCATTAGTGTCCTATGTCCCTCAGACTTTTGTGGCACATAATGGGAACAAGCCAGGGTCCTATACCTCCCCCAGTTCTAGGGTTAGGGTTAGGCAGTGTGTGAACTGTACCACGGCTACCAGGGGAGCTCAGGGTGCATATTTTAGTCAATTATATTGGGCTGCCATGCTTCAATGGTGATGGCAAGAACAGAAGTATCCTTTTTAAAGTGAATGAATGATGAGTCATTAATAGTTAACACATAATCCAAAAATAGGAATGCATGGCAAAAATAGCATATTGTAGTCCCTCCAGGAACAATTGAGCAAATTCCACCAATCCCTGTCTCACTGGAACAAGTTGCCTTCACTTTTTTTAATGAATTATTTCACTTTCTCCTGCAATTTCATTGCAAGAAAAGCCTAAAACATCTCAACATGCACCCCAACTGTTTAGAGAGAAAGAAATGAGACATTTTAGGGATTGTTGCAGCATAAAATGTCTTTTTGGAGTATTTTAGAGACCAAACCTTCATTAAAACACTTATGTCTGATGAAGAGTACTTCGCAAACTGGGTTTAGGGGAACTTAGGACCCTGTTTGGTGTCTGTCCGGTGGAGAAACTGCTCGAGGGTTTTTAACCGCTGTCTTGTTTCTCGTTTTCGGTCCCTCCTCTGACCCTGACGTAGCACCCAGCGTGTCCCGCCGGGGAGGGAAGAAAGGCGGTGCTGAGCTGCTCGCTATATTGCAGCGAGCCAAGGAGCGCTTTGCCCCCTCTTCGCTCGGAGTTTCCGTCGAGTGTCAACCGCACAACAACAACAACAACAAAAAAAGAAAAGAAAAAGTGATTCGGGCCGAGACATGGCTGGATATTTGAAAGTCCTCAGCTCTCTTTCGAGGTCGGCCGCTGCTTTCTCCAGAAACCCCGCGGTGCTTGCGCCGGCTGCAAACTGCCAGCCTCAAAGAAACTGTGAGTGGAGAGAGTGAGAGAGAGAGAGAACCGGTGCTATCCTCAGCATCAGTGTGTTGCTCCATATTGGTGTTGCTCCCGTTACATTTGGATAATGTCAGACGAGCACAGACAGCCACAAATGATTAAAAAAATAAATAAAACAACAACAGCCTGTAGAAGCTGGGGGCGCCGTGCTACGCAGCCATGCTAGCCAAGTTGCGTCCGCTGCTAACCAGCTGGGATGCTGTTAATAGTATTAATGATTTGAGCTGAGGGGTTAGAGATGCTCTTAACGCCCCTGGACTCACTTAGTGGTTGCTTTATGGCAGGTGAATTGCAGGTTGTTTTGATAATAATGTGGCTGTAGTCGTCGAGAGAGAGAGATGAAGGGGGCCGAGAAAGCGAAACGACGAGCCGAGGGGGAGAGAGAGCTCTCTTTGTCTTCCCCATCCAAAGTTTGGAGGAACAGTTCGTGGCGATATGGAGAAAATGCGGTCGCATTAATGAATGGGATGTTGATTTTAATGTGTCTACTGTTAAAGCAGATACGACTGGGCATGTTTACTCGACACTTAACCTCGAAAAAATAGAGATAAACCAAGGAGGCGAATTGCGCCGCAGAAACTGGCAGCGGATGAATCAAATGAATCTTCCGTTTTTTTTTTTTTTAAAGCTGTCTGAGCGGAAATGTCATTGTTCACGACTGGGGGATAAGATTGTGACTATTACATGCAAAATTAAGTTAAATCAAAATGTCCTAATTGTGAACTGATGTGCTGCTCTTCAGCCATCGTGTTTAGTGCGACACTGACTTGGAAAACTTTTTTTTCTTCCCGAGGTCAACCACCGCATACGAGACTCCGCTATAGAGAGCAATGGCTGCCGCTCGCTCCGTTCTACATAATGTTTTCCATCTGGGTTACATTCACTCTGCAGCTTAAACCTGCACGATTCACCACTTCTGATTCTAGCTTTGTGGCTC